AATAAAATTGAAAACAGTCTGTGGGTTAAAAATAACAAGTGTTATTACATTAGTTTTACAAATAAAAGGGCAATTAAGAGACATGGGGAGAAAGCAGAGGCCAGCAAGGCGCATGCTCGGGAAGCGCAGCGGCCATAACACAGGTAAAGCACGTCCATGTCTGCTCAGGCTTCTTTGACAATAAGGAAGCTCCTCACTGGTAAGTTCCTGTGCCATATGTTTCCATCTCTCTGGGGAGAGCAAGCCAAACACTGATATTGAGTAAGTGCCTCATAAATCCCTGTCAAATAGACTAGAAAGTAATCACTGGCCTCCGTTAGAAGACAGCGTGATAGTGATGTCCATCTCTCGGTGGGTTGTCTATGTGCTCCATTCTATATACCACTTGTCATATAGATGCAGTAGCTCCAAATTGGAGCACAGCCCTCCAAAGGATGTCAGTATTTCCAGTCTCCTTCTACAGCTGAGCGCACTAAGAGGTTAAGCGACTTGCCTCAGACCACACAGTAAATTTCTGAACTTCAAGCCAGGTGTGCTGATCCCAATGTTCACACTCTTTCCATTGTTTTTCTGTGTTCAGCAGTGCCACCTTGTGTGTGTGTGTGTGTGTGTGTGTGTGTGTGTGTGTGTGTGTGTGTGTGTGTGTGTGTGTGTGTGTGCTGGTACTGGGGCTTAAACTTAGGATCTAGGCTCTGTCCCTGAGCTTTTTATTTTTTTTAGTTTTGTCTGATCATTATATAAAAGTGATGAAGAGAGGGGCTACAGTCACATTAGTCAGGTAATGAATACATTTTTTTAATCTTTTTTTTGTTTGAGTCCGGTCGTGGGACCTGAACTCTGGGCCTGGGCGCTGTCCCTCAGCTCTTCAGCTCAAGGCTAGCGCTCTACCACTTGAACCACAGCGCCACTTCCGGCTTTTTTCTTTTTACTTATGTGGTGCTGAGGAATTGAACCCAGAGCCTCATGCATGGAAGGCAAGCGCTCTACCACTGAGCCACCTTCCCAGCCCCATGAATACATTTTTTGTAATGTCACCTCTTCCCCTTTGCGCTCTGTTTATTCCACCCACAAGTTGTGTAGTTCATTTTCAACACGGTGTCTGGTGAGTACCACTGCTGCTGCTTCATCCTTTGTCCATTCATTTCTGTGCCCCCTTAGCCCTCCAAAAGACAGGTAAACAAACAAGACAAAAAGAAAACTAAAACAGGGGCTGAGGATGTGGATTAGTGGTAGAGTGCTTGCCTAGCATGCATGAAGCCCTGGGTTCCATTCCTCAGTACCACATACACAGAAAAGGCCAGAAGTGGTACTGTGGCTCAAGTAGTAAAATGCTAGACTTGAGCAAAAGAAGCTCAGGGACAGTGCCCAGGCCCTGAGTTAAAAAAAAAAAAAAAAAAAAAGTCTCATGAACTTTCCTGCCCTGGCTCTGAACCATGATCCTCAGATCTCAGACTCCTGAGTAGCTAGGATTACAGGTGGGAGTCATTGGCGCCCTGCCATATTTGGTTTTTTGAGGAATCTCCAGACTGCTGACCAGAGTGGTTGTACTAGTTTACATTCCCACCAGTAGTAAGACAGTAAGACATTCCCACCAACATCATTTGAATTCACAATGTTGATCAATCTAACTGGGGTAAGAAATCTCAGAGTTATTTTGATTTGCATTTCCTTTATGGCCAGTGATACTGAGCATTTCCTCATGTGTTTCTTTGTCATTCTTACCCCTTCTTCTGAGAAATCTCTCCTTAGTTCCTTTGCCCTCTCTCTTCTTTCTGAGTAATTAGTGTGATGTTTCTTTTTGTTGTTGTTGTTGGTTGTGGGACTTGAACTCTGGGCCTGGGCCTGTCCCTCAGCTCTTCAGCTCAAGATTAGCACTCTACCACTTGAGCCACAGTGCCACTTCCAGTTTTCTGAGTGGTTTATTTGAGATAAGAGTCTCATGGACTTTTCCTGGTCGGGCTGGCTTTGAACTATGATCCCCAGATCTCAGCCTCTTGAGTAGTTAGGATTACAGGCGTGAGCCACCAGAGCCTGGCAGTGTGATGTTTCCTTTCTTTTTTTTTTTTTTTGGTCGGTCGTGGGCTTGAACTCTGGGCCTGGGCGCTGTCCCTCAGCTCTTCAGCTCAAGGCGAGCGTCCTACCACTTGAGCTACAGCGCCACTTCCGGTTTTCTGGTGGTTTATTGGAGATAGAGTCTCACGGTCTCTCCTGCCCGGGCTGGCTTTGAACCACGATCCTCAGATCTCAGCTTCCTGAGTAGCTAGGATTACAGGCGTGAGCCACCAGCGCCCCGAGTGTGATGCTTCTTGATTGGCACAAGGCTCTGACTGCTTGCCTTTCCCTGGTGTCCACTCTTGAGCTTCATTTCCAGATTAGAGCTTTGTCTGTCTTCCTTTCTCTTTCTTTCTTTCTCTCTCTCTCTTTCTTTCTTTTTCTTCTTTCTTTCTGTTTTGTTGTTGTTGTTGATTATGGGGCTGGGGCGCTGTCCCTGAGCTCTTCAGCTCAAGGCCAGTTCTCTACCACTTGAGCCACAGTGCCATTTGTGGCCTTTTCTGTTTATGTGGTGCTGAGGAATCAAACCCAGGGCTTCATGCAGGCATTCTCCCACTGAGCCACCTTCCCAGCCCCATGAGAATTGTGCTTCTTACTGAGCAGACAGAGCTCTGGGACTGCCCTGTCTCTAGTCCACCATCTTGGATTCTCCCTGAGCTTTTTTGCTCAAGGCTAGCACTCTAGCCACAGCTCTACTGCTGGATTTTGGATGGTTAATTTGGATGTTAGGGTCTTGTGAACTTTCCTGCCTGGCTGGCTTTGCACTGCCATCCTCAGCCTCCTGAGTAGCGAGGATTGCAGGTATGACCGCCAATGCCTGGCCCCTCTGTCTTTTATGTAGGGGAGGAAACCTGTAATCCAAGTGGTCTCATCCATACCCTGCCTAAGAAGGCCCAGAAAGAGAGCCTGGCAGAGGTGAAGTTAACTTAGCCTCTGACAACCTCAGAAACCCTGTAGGAGGGAGGAGGGGACACACGAAGGAAGTCAGCCGAGTTTCCCAGCTATGTCTTCTAAGGTCACCAGTGTTTCATTAATTGGGTCAATATAAACACCTTTGACCATCTTAAAACACCTTCAGCCTGGTGAAGCCAGGCACAGTGTTTCAGTTCTATAATTCCAGCTATTCAATAAGCAGAAAAGAGTATCCCATCAGGGGTCCAGTGGCTCATGCCTATAATCCCAGCTACTCAGGAGGTTGAGATCTGAGGATCACGGTTCGAGGCCATTCCGGGCAAAAAAGTCCCCGTGAGACTCTTATCTCCAATTAGCCACTCAAAAACCGAAAGAGGCACTGTGGCTTAAGTGGAAGAGCACTAGCCTTGAGCTGAATTGCTCAGAGACAGCACCTGGGCCCAGAGTTCAAGCCCCACCACAGACGGAAAAAAAAAAAAAAAGAGAGAATATCTCATTTTAAGTCCTTCCAAGCTAAAGATTTCATAAGACCCCATCTCTATCAATTAACCTGGCATGGTAGTTTGCTCCAGTAATACCAGCTACTAGGAAGGCATAGGTAGGAAAGACAATGGGCTGAGTTTGGTCCTGGGCAAAAAAAAAAAAAAAAATCAAGACCCTACCAGAAAAATAACTAAAGCAAAAACGGAATATGATGCATGGCTCATGTGATAGAACAATCGCTCAGGAAATATAAGCAATACCTAAAGTTCAAACTCCACTATTATAAAAACAACTCCAAGCCGCTTGCGGCTCATGCTTGTTATTTTAGGTACCAAAAGGCTAAGATCTGAGGATCATGGCTTGAAACCAGCCTAGGCAGGAAAGACTGTGAGAATCTTTTTTTTTGTTTGTTTGTTTTTGTCGGTCCTGGGGCCTGAACTCTGGGCTGGGCTCTGTCCCTTAGCTCTTCAGCTCAAGACTAGCGTTCTACCACTTGAGCCACAGTGCCATTTCTGGCTTTTTCTGCTTATGTGATGCTGAGGAATCGAACCTAAGGCCTCATGCATGCAAGGCAAGCACTCTACCACTGAGCCACCTTCCCAGGCCCAATGTGAAAATCTTACCTTCAATTATCCAATAACAACAACAAAAAGGATGTGAAAGTGTGGCTCAGGTGGTAGAACACTACTTTTAGCAAAAAAAAAAAAAAAGCCCCCCGCCCCCCAAATAAAAAGAGGGTCAGGCACTGGTAGCTTACACCTATAATCATAGCTACTCAGGAGACTTAGCTCTGAGGATTGTGGTACAAAGCCAGCCCAGGCAGGAAAGTCTGTGAGACTCTTATCTCTAATTAACCACCAGAAAACCAGAAATGGGACTGTGGCTCAAGTGGTAGAGAGCTAGCCTTGAGCAAAAGAGCTCAAAGATAGCACCTTCATGAGTTAAAGCCCTACAGACAAAAACAACAACAACAAAAGATAAGTAAGCACAATAGTCTATAATAATATTTTTAGCCAGTGGCTCACACTTTTGTAATCCTAGCTACTCAGGTTGCTAAGATCTGAGGATGGTGGTTCACGTCAGCCTGGTCAATAAAGTCCATGATTTTTTTTTTTTTTTTTTTTGGCCAGTCCTATCCTAGGGCTTGAACTCAGGGCATGGGTGCTGTCTGTGAGCTTCTTTTGCTCAAAGCTAGTGCTCTATCACATGAACCACAGTACCACTTCCAGCTTTTTCTGGGTAGTTTATTGGAGATAAGCGTCTCACAGACTCAAAACCAGTTGGGCTGGTTTTGAACCATGATTCTCAAATCTCAGCCCCCTGAATAGCTAGGATTACAGGCATGAGCCACCAGTGCCCAGTTCCATGAGCCTCTTATCTCCAATGAACTACCCCAAAAAAGCCAGAAGTGGATGGAACTGTAGCTCAAGTGGTACAGTGCTAGCCTTGAGCAAAAAGCTCAGGGACAGTGCCTAGGACCCTGAGCTCAAGCCTTAGAACTGGCACCAAAAAGAATAATAATAACTTTAATAATAATAACTTTTCCCCCTTAGGCTCATTCAAAAGTTTGGCATAACTACAACAGAAACTTCCGCCCACATCAGAAGGGCTGGTTATCGATCACATTGGGGTCCCACTGGATTGAGCCAAACAGATGGGAAAATCAGATGGATATACTCAGGTGCCAGCAATCCATGGCTTCCGTGCTTGGCTGGTTTGCTAGCCCCATCCATGGCAACGGCGACTACCCCGAGGACATAAAGAAGTGGCTGTCTATTCTACCTCTTTTCTCAGACACAGAGAAAAAGGAGGTGAAGGGCACCGCTGACTTTTTTGCCTTTTCCTTTGGACCCAATAATTTCAAGCCTCAGAACACCATGGACAAAATGGGGCAAAATGTGTCACTCAATTTGAGACAAGTGCTGAACTGGATTAAGTTAGAATACAACAACCCTCGGATCTTGATTACTGAGAATGGCTGGTTCACAGATAGCTACATAAAGACGGAAGACACCACAGCCATCTACATGATGAAGAATTTCCTCAACCAAGTTCTCCAAGGTTGGTTGCCCATTTGCTCAATTAAAAAATAGATAAATACAGCTCCAGTGGCTCATGCATGTAATCTTAGCTACTCAGGAGGATGAAATCTGAGGATCACAGTTCAAAGCCAGCCTGGGCAGGAAAGTCTGTGAGCCTCTCATCTCCACTTAACCATCAAAAAGCCAGAAGTAGAGCTGTGGCAGCTTTAAGCAGAACAAAACCCAAAAATAAACAAAGAAGAAAACTAAGGGACAAAGTCCAAGTCCTGAGTTCAAGGCCCTGTACTGCCACACACATATAAAAAGGTTGATTTGGGGCTGGGAAGGTGGCTCAGTGGTAGAGTGCTTGCATTCATGAGGCCCTGGGTTCAATTCCTCAGCACCACATAAGCAGAAAAAGACAGAAGTGGTGCTGTGGCTCAAGTGGTAGAGCGCTCGCCTTGAGCTGAAGAGCTGAGGGACAGAGCCCAGGCCCAGAGTTCAGGCCCCCACAATGGACAAAAAAAAAAAAAAAAAGGTTGATTTTTTTGTAGGATATTTAAAGTCACCTTTAAATATGTTATTGCTGTTGTTGGAGTGTTGTACTATCTAATGACAGAATTTTTAATGTTACTCTAATATCCTTTTTATTTTTATTTTTAAAATTTCTTGGGCTGGGAAGGTGGCTCAGTGGTAGAGCGCTTGCCTTGCATGCCTGAGGCCCTGGGTTCGATTCCTCAGCACCACATAAGCAAAAAGAGAAAAAGCCAGAAGTGGCGCTGTGGCTCAAGTGGTAGAGCGCTAGCCTTGAGCTGAAGAGCTGAGGGACAGCGCCCAGGCCCAGAGTTCAGGCCCCACGACTGGACCCAAAAAATAAAAAAAATTAAAATTTCTTTATTATTTTCAAGGTAATAGACAGTGGGGTTACATTTATATATGTCAGGTAATAAGTACATTTCTTTTTGTTGATTTTTTTCTTTTGGTCAGTCGTGGGGCTTGAACTCTGGGCTTGGGCACTGTCCCTCAGCTCTTCAGCTCAAGGCTAGTGCTCTACCACTTGAGCTACAGCGCCACTTCTGGTTTTCTGGTGGTTATTGGAGATAAGAGTCTCACAGACTCTCCTGCCCGGGCTGGCTTTGAACCGCGATCCTCAGATCTCAGACTCCTGAGTAGCTAGGATTACAGGCGTGAGCCACCGGCGTCCAGCAGTACATTTCCTTTTGCACCATGTCATCTATTCCCTCATTCTCTCATACCTTTTTTTTTTTGGGGGGGGGGGTCTGGTGGTCTGGTCGTGGGGCCTGAACTCTTGGCCTGGGCGCTGTCCCTCAGCTCTTCAGCTCAAGGCGGTGCTCTACCACTTGAGCCACAGCGCCACTTCTGGCTTTTTTTTCTGCTTATGTGGTGCTGAGGAATCGAACCCAGGACCTTGTGCATGCAAGGCAAGTGCTCTACCACTGAGCCACCTTCCCAGCCCTCATACCCTTTTTCTTTTTCTTTTTTTTTTTTTTGCTGGTCATGGGCCTGAACTCTGGGCCTAGGCTCTGTCCCTCAGCTCTTCAGCTCAAGGCTAGGACTCTGTTTATGTGGTGCTGAGGAATCGAACCCAGGGCCTCATGCATGCAAGACAAGTGCTCTACCATGTAGCTACCTTCCCAGCCTGCCCTCCCCCCATACCCTTTTTAAATAAAGTTTGAGAACAAGACAGGCATGGTGGTTCTCACCTATAAACTCAGTACTTGGGAGGCTGAGGAAGAAAGATGAAGAGTTTGAAGCCAGTTTGGGCTATAGAGGAAATTCCAGGTCAGCCTAGACTATGTAGTAAGATCCTGGCCAGCCTGGGTTACATAACAAGACTTTGAAAAAAAAAAAAAGCCAGGTGCCAGTGGCTCACCCCTGTAATCCTATGCAGGAGGCTGAGATCTGAGAATCATGGTTCAAAGCCAGCCCAGGCAGGAAAGCCTGTGATACTCCTATCACCAATAAACTACTCAGAAAAAGCCAGAAGTGGTGCTGTGGCTCAAGCAGTAGAGTGCTAGCCTTAAGCAAAAGAAGCTCAGGGACAGTGCCCAGGCCACGTTCAAGCCCCAGGACTGGAGTGAGGAGAGTTTAAGAACAAAATAATCTAGCCGGGCGCTGGTGGCTCACGCCTGTAATCCTAGCTACTCAGGAGGCTGAGATCTGAGGATCGCGGTTCAAAGCCAGCCCGGGCAGGAGAGACCGTGAGACTCCTATCTCCAATAAACCACCAGAAAACTGGAAGTGGTGCTGTAGCTCAAGTGGTAGAGCGCTCGCCTTGAGCTGAAGAGCTGAGGGACAGCGCCCAGGCCCAGAGTTCAAGCCCCATGACCAACCCAAAAAAAAAAAAAAAAAAGAACAGAACAAAATAATCTGAGGAGGGACTGGGAATGTGGCTTAGTGGTAGAGTACTTGCCTAGCATGCATGAAGCCCTAGGTTTGATTCCTCAGTACCACATAAACAGAAAAAGCCAGAAGTGGTACTTGTGGCTCCAGTGGTAGAGTGCTAGCCTTGAGCAAAAAGAAGCTGAGGGACAGTGCCAGGCCCTGAGTTCAATCCACAGAACTGGAAAATAATAATAATAATATTAATAATTATAATTTGAGTACACAAAGATGATCCAGTCCTCAAAGTGCAAAAAGATTCTGCTGCATTCTTTATATAGGGAACAGTTCTAAAAGAGCTGCTTCAAGTTTCCTGATGGTAGTACTTTATTCTGAAATGCTCCTTTTACTCTGTAACAAGACTGAATGGAAAAAGGCCAAAAAACAAAGCTGAGCAGTTTGCAAGGCTCTTGGAGATTTCTTCTGAGGAGACATTTCTCCTCATTCCTCTCCCTTTTCTCAAGCAGTGCCTTCTGCAGTTGGCCGGTGGAAAGAAAGACAAGATGGGATTATGAGGGCCTGACCCTGAAGCAGTGGGCTCTACCTCAATGTAAAACAATTCTCTGCAGATCTAACACTCTGCAGCTTTCTTTAGAAGATACAAGTCTTGAGGACAATTCCGGATTCTGCAGGGCAGGGTCCTCAGGGAGACCAACTCTGTGCCCCAATTCTGCTGCCAGTAGAAACAGAGCCTAACTCAGCCAGGCACCACATACATCTGGCAATCTAGAGCAGAGGTCAATGTCACAGGCCATTGGGTTGAGTGCCATGCACTTGGGCAGAAAGGGGCGTCTATTCATCCCCCCTCAAAGCCCTATAGCACCAATGGACTAAGCACCAGGGCCTGTTCAAGTGTAATTATCTCAGAATATTTTGACACGATTTTCTACCTTTTAGGAAAAGGATGTTAATGATAAGTCCCCAAAATATAGCAACAAAGCATTTTCATGAGAGAAATGAAAGCTCCTATGAAAAATGATTCAGGGCTAATTGGAGTATTTGTTTTACAACTTACTATTGATTTTCTTTTTTTTGGGGGGGGGGGGGATTCCAGTCTTGGGGCCGGAACTCTGGGCCCGGGCGCTGTCCCTTAGCTCTTCAGCTCAAGGCTAGCGCTCTACCACTTGAGCCACAGCGACACTTCCAACTTTTTTTCTTTTTGCTTATGTGGTGCTGAGGAATCGAACCCAGGGCCTTGGGCATGCAAGGCAAGCGCTCTACCACTGAGCCACCTTCCCAGCCCTTACTATTGATTTTCTCGTTCCTAAGGGTTATTGAGTTGGAATTTCTAAGCAAGAAAGGTCCTTAGAGATCTTTTCTGTTTACAAATGGGGAAACTGAGGCAAAGAATATAGTCCAGTCACTGCCTTCTAGGAACACAGATGGTCAAGTTCTAGGCCCTGTTCTCCAGTGCTGCCAGAGTCCCTTGTCCTATACTTCTTTGCTTCTTTTGTCTCCTAGTAACTACACGCACTTGTATTAACTCTAAGAGCTGATTTTTTGGGTTTTGTCCTGGTACCAGAGTTTAAACTCGGGGCCTGGCACTGACCCTTAGCTTTTTCTCTCAAGGCTGGTGCTCACCACTTGAGCCATAGCTCTACTTCTAGCTTTTTGGTGGTTAATTAGAGATAAGAGTCTTATGGCGCCAGGCGCCCATGGCTCATACCTGTAATCCTAACTACTCAGGAGGCTGAGATCTGAGGATTTCGGTTCAAAGCCAGCCCTGGCAGGAAAGACTGTGAGACTCTTATCTCCAACAAGCCACCAGAAAACCGGAGGCTGCACTGTAGCTCAAGATGTAAAGTGCTAGCCTTGAGCTGAAGAGCTGAGCCACTTCCGGCTTTTTCTATTTATGTGGTACTGAGGAATTGAACCCAGGGTTCCATGCATGCTAGGCAAACACTCTACCACTAAGTCATATTTCCAGACCACAATCACTTTTTATTTGGAAAAATGAGAAAAGGATGGATAGTTTTATAACCTTCCATGCTATGCCATGTTGCTGGTGAAACTGAACTGTAAATGCACATTAGATTGCTTAGCCCTGCAAACATGTCTGCTCTCTTTTCTCTGTGCAGCGATAAGGTTCGATGAAGTACGAGTGTTTGGCTATACTGCCTGGGCTCTCCTGGATGGCTTTGAGTGGCAGGATGCCTACACCACCCGCCGTGGATTATTTTATGTGGATTTTAATAGTGAAGAGAAAGAAAGAAAGCCCAAGTCGTCAGCACATTACTATAAACAGATTATACAAGAAAATGGTTTTACTTTAAATGACTCCACGCCTGATATACAGGGTCAGTTTCCCTGCGACTTCTCCTGGGGGGTCACTGAATCTGTTCTGAAGGTAAGTGGCTACTTCCAAATTCACCATGAACATGTGGAGATAGTTCACAATATTCATTCGTTTACTCAATGAGAGCTGAGATGTGGTATCAGCAATATCAAATACAATGATTAGCCAAGGCTGCTGGCTCACATCTGTAATCCTAGCTACTCAGGAGGCTGAGATCAGGATCATGGTTCAAATCTAGCCCAGGCAGGAAAAGTCCCTGAGACTCTCATCTCCAGTTAACCACCAGAAAACTGGAAGTAGAGCTGTGGCTTAAAGTAGGAGAGCCCCTAGCCTTGAGCAAAAAGAGCTCAGGGACAGTGTCCAGGCCCTGAGTTCAAGCCCCACAACCCACAACAAACAAATATACAATGCTTACTTAGAAATTATGAAGAGGAACTAGGGAAGAGGAAGAGAGCAGCACGGGAATCAATGCTTTCTGACATATTGCCCTAGACCAGAACTTACAGTTGATAATGGAGATGAAGACATAAAGAGGCTATCTTCCAGGCGGGTACAGTTCAGAGGGAACTTACAACCATTTCTTTTTTTTTTTTTTAACTTGTCCTGGAACTTGAACTCAGGGCCTGGACACTGTTCCTGAGCTTCTTTTGCTCAAGGCTAACATTCTACCACAGTGCTACTTCCTGCTTTTTCTGTGTATGTGCTACTGAGGAATCGAATCCAGGGCTTCATGCATGCTAGGCAAGCACTCTACCACTAAGCCACATTCCCAGCCATACAACCATTTCCAAGTGAGATATTTGTTTAGAGTGTGAAAATTCTAGAGAAAAAATATTTACAGATTTTTGAGCCAAAAGCAAATTGTGACCAGCCCTTTATTTAAGTAGTGAATAGATCTACATAATTTATTTTTACTCCTAAGCTCTCTGTGTCCTAGTGGAATTTCTCCAGACATTCTACTCCTCACCTTTTCCTAATGTTTGTTCAAAAAGGCTGAAATAAAGTATTCCCAGCCAGATATGGTGAATTCTCTCCCTATCATCTTCTGTGTTTTATTCTCCTTTTTTTCCCTCTCTCTTTGCAGCACTGGGGTTTGAACTCAGGGCCCTGAGTTTGCTAATCTACCACTTGAACCATACCTCCAGTTTCAGCCCTTTGCTGGTTAATTGAGCATAAGAGTTTCATCAGGGGCTAAGAATGTGGCTTAATGGTAGAGTGCTTGCTTAGTATGCATGAACCCTTGGGTTCAATTCCTCAGTACCACATAAGCAGAAAAAGCTGGAAGTGGTGGGTTCAATTGGTAGAGTGTTAGCCTTGAGCAAAAAGAAGCTCAGGGATAATGCCCAGGCCCTGAGTTCAAGCCCCAGGACTGCCAAAAGCAATAACAACAACAACAAAAGTTTCATCAGACTTGTATGCTTGAGCTGGCTTTGCACTAGAATTCTCACATCTCAGCCTCCTGAGTAGCTAGGATTACAGGCATGAGTCACTAGCACTTGGCTTATAAAGATTTAACTTTATGCTTACATGATCAATGTTCTCTTAATGTTCTAGATAAACTGGCTGACAGATGGCAGGTGGGCAGTTATATGATTTTGTAATTAAGACTATGAAAGATGACAGAAGAGAAAACAATTAGGGGTAAAATATTTACAAAAGGTTAATTATCATTTTTTCTGCTGTATTTAAATTGAATCATGAGAAGAAACAGTACATCAACACAAACACATAATTTTTACTTACTCTTATTAATCTTGAATTTGGAAATGTTTCTCTTTTAGTTTAGACACAAGGACATAACAGGCAATTATTGTAACCAGGAAAAACTAACCTTAAGTCATGTCTTGTTTGTCCAGTGCTTTAACAGAGCACTTTCCTGGAACATCAAGTCCTCATCACATGCCTGAATGGTGGGAGACATGACACTGCTACTAAACATTTGTCCAGCATGAATTTCAAAGGGGGAAGATTAGGATAGGAATCTCCAGGATGGAGAGGCAGAGACTGAGATTCTAGAGTCACACTTGAGAGTTTCCAGGTCATTTTACTGTCTGTTCTTGCATAGAGAAAACATTCTATGGTCTCTTGTTGGATGAATAAATGCTATGATCTCACAGGCACATGGTTGGGAAAGATAATGAATGCAAATAGGATGTCATTTAGTCTTTTTCTTTTATTTCTCCCTGCAGGTTTTGGGGCTTGAACTCAGGTCCTGGGCCCTGTCCCTAAGCTTTTTTTGCTCAAGGTTAGCACTCTACCACTTGAGCTACAGCTCCACTTCCAGCTGTTTGGGGTAGTTAAGTGAAGATAAGAATCTTATGGACTTTCCTGACCAGTCTGACTTTGAACTACGATCCTCAGATAGCCTTTTGAGTAGCTAGGATTAGAGATGTGAGCCACTAGCACCAGGCTGTCTGTCCCTTGGTCTTAAGAGTTGCCTTCTGCAAGTACAAGGGGGGTCATTGCCTTCCCTGATCCCACCAGCCTCTCTTAGGAACCATGGTAAGGGTCAACCTGACTACTGATCTCAGTGAACTCTTCTATGATGGGAATTCTCCTTTGTCTTCAAATTTATGATAAGGCTTAGAATCCATCTTTTTCTTTTTTGGGGGGGGGGAGGAGGATCCGGTCGTGGGGCCTGAACTCTGGGCCTGGGCGCTGTCCCTCAGCTCTTCAGCTCAAGGCTAGCGCTCTACCACTTGAGCCACAGCGCCACTTCCGGCTTTTTTCTTTTTGCTTATGTGGTGCTGAGGAATTGAACCCAGGGCCTCATGCATGCAAGGCAAGCACTCTACCACTGAGCCACCTTCCCAGGCCCTTAGAATCCATCTTTTATAAATGCTTTTTACTGAGGCAACCAAGCTAATTTCCTGATGCATTTGAACAAACTCAGGTAAGAACCTGCTATGTAAATGCAGGCTATAAGATTATACAGCAACCTGGGTTTTTAGGTCAAATGAGCTGGAAAATGATTTTTCATTCTTTTTCTCAAGTTGTTTTCCAAGCCAACCCTTCCCGGTATTTCCTGGTCTCCCTGGAGATTCCAAGGGCTGGAAGGGAGAATTATCCATCAAGCCTTTTCTCTGACCTCACCAGGATAAAATAACCGGAACACACAAGTCGTTATGAAGGATGCATGCATCATTTTTTTTTTCCCCTTGTAGGGAGAGGCGGAATGGGATCACGCCCTTCTTCCTCTGGGAGGATTTCGTGCTAAGCACCTCAGGTGGCAGCCAGTGTTCATCTGACTTGTGCCTGTCTTGCAGCCCGAGTTCATGGCCTCCTCCCCACAATTTACCGACCCGCACCTGTACGTGTGGAATGCCACCGGAAACAGATTGTTGCACCGCGTGGAAGGCATAAAGTTGAAAACACGGCCGGCCCAGTGCACAGACTTTGTGAGCATCAAAAAACAACTGGAGATGTTGGCCAGAATGAAAGTCACGCACTACCGATTTGCTCTTGACTGGCCCTCCATCCTCCCCACGGGCAACCTGTCTGTCATTAACCGACAAGTGCTCAGGTACTACAGGTGTGTGGTCAGCGAGGGGCTGAAGCTCAGCATCTCCCCCATGGTCACCTTGTATTACCCCACCCATGCCCACCTGGGCCTCCCAGGGCCTCTCCAGCGCCGAGGCGGGTGGCTGAGCCCCTCCACCGCCCAGGCCTTTCAGGACTACGCGGGGCTGTGCTTCCAGGAGCTGGGGGACCTGGTGAAACTCTGGATCACCATCAATGAGCCGAACCGGCTGAGCGACATCTACAACCGCACCAGTAATGACACCTACCGGGCGGCGCACCACCTGCTGATGGCCCACGCGGGGGTCTGGCACCTGTACGACCAGCGCTACAGGCCGGCGCAGCGCGGGTTGGTGTCCCTGTCGCTGCACGCGGACTGGGCGGAGCCCGCCAACCCCTACGTGGACTCGCACCGCCAGGCGGCCGAGCGCTTCCTCCAGTTCGAGATCGCCTGGTTCGCAGATCCCCTGTTCAAAACCGGGGATTACCCGGCGGCCATGCGGGAGTACATCGCCGCCAAGGCGCGGCGCGGGCTGTCCAGCTCGGAGCTGCCCGTCCTGAGCGCGGCCGAGCGCAGGCTGGTGCGGGGCGCCGCCGACTTCTGCGCGCTGAACCACTTCACCACCCGCCTGGTGCTGCACGAGCCGCAGCGGGGCGGCGGCCGCGCCCACGCCGACCGCGACCTCCAGTTCCTGCAGGACATCACGCGGCCCAGCTCCCCCGCGCGCCTGGCCGTGGAGCCCCGCGGCGCGCGCCGGCTGCTGCGCTGGGTCCGCCGCCGCTACGGAGACCTGGACGTCCACATCACCGCCAGCGGCATCGACGACCCGGCGCCCCACGACGACCGGCTCCGGAAGTACTACCTGCAGACCTACCTGCAGGAGGCGCTCAAAGGTCAGGCTGGGTTCATTTGGGGTGGGGTGGGGGGCATGTCAGGTCTTCAGCTACAGTGAGGGATGGGGTTCTCATCTTTTTCCTTTCCATGAAAATGCAGCAGTGTGGGTGTTCATAGACTTTCCAGCTACATAATTTTTGTTTGGGATTTTTTTTTTTTTCTTGCCCATCATGGGGCTTGAACTCAGAGCCTGAGCACTGACCCTGAGCTTCTGTTGCTCAAGGCTAGCATACTACCACTTGAGCCACAGCACCACTTCTGGCTTTTTCTGTTTATGTGGTACTGAGGAATCGAACCCAGGGCTTCATGCATGCCAGGCAAGCACTCTACCACCAAGCCACATTGCCAGCTCTTCTTTTTTTTGTGTGCCCCTACTGTAGTTTGAACTCAGGATCTGGGTGCTGTTTCTTAGCTTTTTCATTCAAGACTAATGCTCTAGCGATGGGAAGGTGGCTCAGTGATAAGAGTGATTGATTTGCATGCATGAGGCCCTAGGTTCGATTCCTCAGCATCACATAAGCAGAAAAAGCTGGAAGTGGTGTTATGGCTCAAGTGGTAGAGTGCCAGTCTTAGGCTGAAGAGTTCAGGGACAGGGCCCAGGCCCAGAGTTCAGGCGCCACCACCGGCAAGAAAAAAAAAAAAGACTAATGCTCCACCAGCTGAGCCACAGCTCCACTTGCTGCTTTTGGTGGTTATTTGTTTAGGGTGGCTTTTCAACTGCAATCCTTAAGATCTAGGCCTCCTGAGTAGTGAGGAGTGGTGTCACTAGCACCTGGCTTCACCATCTTCCCTCCCTGCTCTGTTGTGTAGGGCTTGAACTTGGTCTAGGCACTGTCCCTGAGGTTTTTTTTTTTTTTTGGGTCCGGTCGTGGGGCCTGAACCCTGGGCCTGGGCGCTGTCCCTCAGCTCTTCAGCTCAAGGCTAGCACTCTACTACTTGAGCCACAGCACCACTTCCGGCTTTTTTCTTTTTGCTTATGTGGTGCTGAATTGAACCCAGGGCCTCGAGCATGCAAGGCAAGCGCTCTACCACTGAGCCACCTTCCCAGCCCCTGTCCCTGAGTTCTTTCACTCAAGGATGGTAGCTCTCTATCACTTGAGCCACAGTGCCACTTCCGGTTTTCTGGTGGCTAATCAGAGATAAGAGTCTAACAGACTTTCTTGCCCAGGATGGCTTTGAACCATAATCCACAGATCTCAGCCTCCTGAGTAGCTAGGATTATAAGTGTGAGACACCAGCTTCAAAATCTGAAATTTGCTATTCTCTCTTACATTTTTGGATTATTCATGGATAAATTTTACTTCAATCAGGGCTGGGAAAGTGGCTCAGTGGTAGAGCACTTGCCTTGCATGCCTGAGGCCCTGGGTTTGATTCCTCAGCACCACATAAGCAAAAAGGAAAAAGCCAGAAGTGGTGCTGTGGCTCAAGTGGTAGAGCGCTGGCCTTGAGCTAAAGAGCTGAGGAACAGCACCCAGGCCCAGAGTTCAGGTCCAACGACCGGAGCCCAAAAAACAAACAAAAAAAATTTTTACTTCAATCAAGCACAGACACTCAAGTCTTTAATCCTCACTGCTTGGGGAGCAGAAATCAAGCAAGTGTGATTAGAAGCCAGCCTTAAAAAAAAAAAAAAGTTTTGTTTTTTTATTAAGACTCCATTTTAACTAATGGATGGACATATTGTCATACACCTCTCATCCAAATAATGTAGAAGGTCCCTGGACTATGATCCTATTTGTGAGTACAGATAAGACATGAAGCAAGATCCTATCTTACCCTATCTCAAAAAAAAAAAAAAAAGAAAGAAAGAAAGAAAAGAAAAGAAAAAACAATTATACATACACACACAAAGGGGGCTGGCAGAGGAGCTTATGTGCATAGCATATATGAACTTGGTTCAAATACCAGTACCACTAAAGCATTTTTTGCTTCAACTTTCTTTCTAAAACTAAATTGTACATATCTTCACAGTTGGTGTTAGCCAGTTTTACTGTTCCCCTCACCAAATACCTAAGAGAAACATTTAAGGGATGAGCTGTTTTTAAGGTTTTAGGCCATCATGGCTGGTCCTTGCTGGTCCATGGTGAGGCAGAATATCATGGCAGCATGGCATTTTCATGATAGACACAGTACAGAGAGGGGAATAAAAGAGAGTACAGAGAGAGAGGGAAACACAGTCCCAAATATATGTCCCAGTGACCTTGTTCTTGCTCCCCCTCCATACTATCCCAATGCGTTCAATGATTAAATCAAGAGCCCTGGTTACCTCTGGAGACATCCTCACAGACATATCCAGAGGTGTACTTTATTAATGTAGAAGGCATTTTTCTTCTTTTTGGTGCTAGTCCTGAGGCTTGAATTTAAGACTGAGGTGCTGTCACTGAGCTTTTTTGCTTTTGTGCTCAAAGCTAGTGCTCAACCACTTGAGCCACAGCCCCTCGTACAGATTTTGGGTGATTAATTGGAGATTACTAGTCTCCAATTAATCACACCTTTATAGGGATCATCAATGGGGTGTTTAATGAGAATTATGACTCTTAAAGACATGGCCTTACTTGTTTCAATAAGAACTAAGTACTTATTCAAAGACACTTCATTATACATTTGTGATAACTAATATTTGGTTCTGATATTTTTCAGCATACCTGATCGATAAGGTCAAAATCAAAGGGTACTATGCATTTAAACTGACTGAAGAAAAATCTAAACCCAGATATGGATTCTTCACATCTGATTTCAAGGCTAAATCCTCCACAGAGTTTTACAGCAAGCTGATCAGCAGCAACGGCTTCCCTTCCCAGAACAGTGGAACTAGATGTAGACAGACTCAGAGCAGCACAGAGTGCACTGTCTGCTCCCTTCTCCTGCAGAAGAAACCACTGATATTTTTCAGTTGCTGCTGTTTCTTCACCCTGGTTCTGCTATTATCACTCACTGTCTTTCATCGGCGAAAGAGAAGAAAATTTTGCAAAGCAAAAAACTTGCAGCACATACCACTAAAGAAAGGCCACAACAGAGTTCTTAACTAAACTCCCTTATTTCCATTGTCATAATAGCTGAAAAATTCACTCCAGTTCCATATACTGCTAACTTAAGAGAACATAGACCTGTACTGTAGAAAGGTGATCTGCGCTACAGCAGTAACCAGGTGATGGCAGTTAATGTCTCTGCAGTGTGGTCCAAGTGAAATTGGCTTTGTGTGGACAGACATCAGTGAACAAAGCTCTTAAAGCTGAAGGCTTCATTCTGACAACTAGCCTCTGACTGCCTGATTATGGCTTCAGAAAGTATGATAGCTATATTTCACTGTTTCCTACTGTAAATACTAGTAGTGACTCATGGAAAAGGAATTATCTTTCAAAATAAAATTTTGAGCCCGGCGCTGAAAGCTACTCAGGAGCCTGAGATCTGAGAACTGCAGTTCAAATCCAGTCCAGGCAGGAAACATTAACACAATTAAATATTAACAACAGAAAACCAGAAGTGACATTCACTGTGGCTCAAAGTGGTAGAGCTCTAGCCTTGAGCAATAGTGCTCAGGCCCCAAGTTCAAGCACAAAATTGGTGTTCTAATTGATAATATGCAGCAATGAAGTTTAAGACACTAGAAAAGACTGACCATTGCAACCAAATGGATGGTACATCAACTAAGTGATGGGAAATAATCTTACTTGTCTAGCCAAAGCCAAATAGAACACTGCATATTTCTTCTTGCCAAGAAGTCTTGTGCTGGGCTCTGGTGGCTCATGTGAATCTGGGAAATAATCTTACTTGTCTAGCCAAAGCCAAGTAGAACACTGCATATTTCTTCCCCCAAGAAGTCTTGTGCTGGGCTCTGGTGGCTCATGTGAATCATTCATTCTTTGCTAAGAAGTCAAAATATATTAGTTTTTTCTGAGGTAGAAAGACAAAAGCACAGAAGTTACTATTACATTGGAGTTTAAAACTTAAGAGCCCTTTTCAAAGCCTTGAGAGGTCTAGAAATATGCTCAAGTAAATCGTGTACGGTTTGCAAAAGGAAGATGCTTTTTCTTTTTCTTTAAAAGGGCCCCAGAGCCAGGCTCTGGTGGCTCATGCCTGTAATCCTAGCTAGCTAAGCTACTCAGGAGGCTGAGATCTAAAGATCATGATTCTAAGGCAGACTTGACACTTAAATCTTTGAGACTTCAAGTATCTCAAGGACAGTTTCCAGGCCCCAAGAATGGCACCAAAAAGAAGAAGAAGAAGGAGAAGGAGGAGGAGGAGGAGAAGGAGGAGAAGGAGGAGAAGTCTTCTCAAGTCTTAGTGATTTTTAAGTATGTTTTACAAAGAATGTTTTGGTGGTACTGAGGGGGAGATTTAACTCATGGGGACTGAACTCATGGCCTTGTCATTAGCCCTATTTCTGCACTAATTATTTTTAGGATAGCATCTCAGGACCCCTTTCTTGTTCTCAAACTGTTGGGATCACAGGTGTGTACCATTAGAAGATGAAATCTCCTTGGCCTGGCATCTCAGCACCTGGCAATCTCAGCTCTCCATATAGCTTGGTAGTTACATGGGAGGCATGCACATCTGTACCCAGCTACAGGCTGAAAAAATATTTTTCAAAACTGGTTGGGCACTGTGGCTCAAACTGTAATCCTAGCTACTCAGGAGGCTGAGATCTGAGGATCACAGCTCAAAGCCAGCCCAGCCTGGAAAGTCTGTGAGACTCTTATCAACTACCAGGCTCAAGTGGTAGAGCACTGACCTTGAGCAAAAATGCTCAGGGACAGTGCCCAGGCTACAAGTTAAAGCCCCACGACTGACTGACCAAAAACAAAACAAAAACAAAAACAAAAAAAGCCAAGCCTGTGGCTCACGCCTTTAATCCTCGCAACTCAAGAGGCTGAGATCTAAGGATCGTGGTTCAAAGCCAGCCTGGCAAGAACGTCCATGAGACTCCTATCTCCAATAAAACACAAGAAAATCTGGAAGTGGTGCTGTGGCTCAAGTGGGAGAGTGCTAGCCTTGAGCTGAAGAGTTGAGGGACAGCATCCAAGCCCAGAGTTCAAGCCCACTACTGACAAAAAAAACAAAACAAAAACCCACCAAATTTTCCTGCCTGGGCTGACCTTGAACCATAATCCTGTTTTCAGCCCTCCAAAAAGTTTTAACTAGCTATGAGTCACCAGCACCTCATCAGCAGTCCCCTCAACCCCACCCTGCCCAGAACTGTATGCTACGCATAATTACAATTGTTCACTAATTATGGTAAAGCTAAACAATTTCTAAAAAAACACATTTTCTCCCCAATATCACAGATTCACCTAAGGTTCAATGAAAAAAAATTTTTTAAGCACTCTGCCACTTGAGCCACAGCACCACTTCCAGCTTTTTCTGCTTACGTGGTGCTGAGGAATCAAACTAAGGGCCTCATCATGCAAGGCAAGCACTCTACCACTGAACCACCTCCCCAGCCCCTAATTGCAGATTCTTAATCAACTGGTTCATCTTGCTGTGTGTATCCATTAAAATTTTTCATTGAGGGCGGGGGAAGGTGGCTCAGTGGTAGAGTGCTTGCCTTGCATACATGAAGCCCTGGGTTCGATTCCTCAGCAATACATATGCAGAAAAAGCCAGAAGTGGCACTTTGGCTCCAGTGGTAGAGTGCTAGCCTTGAGCTGAAGAGCTGAGGGACAGCGCCCAGGCCCCACAACTGGACCCCTCCCCCCCCCCCAAAAAAAAGAATTTACAACTAGCTTTTCCAGTTTTGTTTTTTCATCATTAGTGTCCTTTGCTTCAAACTTTCTTTGGTCATAGGGCTTGAACTCTGAGCCTGAGCGCTGTCCCTCAGCTCTTTAGTTCAAGGCAAGTGTTCTACCACTTCAGCACAGTGCCACTTCTGGCTTTTTGGTAGTTAATTGGAGATGAGTATCACAGATTTTCCTGATCTGGCAGTCCTCAGATTTCAGCTCCTGAGTAGCTATGATTACAAATTACAGGTGTGAGCCACCAGCATCCAGCTTGCTTCAATTATCTTGTGTTCGTGTTTTGAAGTCCACTATCCTTCAGTGTTTTTTAATATGGTCACGTTAAACCTAATGCATGTTCCCCTTTTCCAAACTTACTGCCTTGCTATAAACAGTAGTGACATTCCTAGCCTGCCTAATGCTACAGATCCTCTTGCAGTCTTGGGGAATAGACAAATAAACACACGTGACTTGTTATGCTTACCAGAACATTAAGGTTTACCAAAAACTCAGTTTTAAAGTGTCAAAGGCCAATTACAGAACTAGTAGCTTTTGGCAAGGACAAAAACTTAATACTGTTTAAATGTCTGATTTCCAATGTTATTCTAAATAAATCAGTTTATGGTAACTACATTAAACTAACCATAAGGTCAACTAAAGACAGAATTGTGAGATTTTTGGCACTGTAATTGGGCTTTTCGACACTGCTTTCTCCCAATCTGTATACCAACTGGTTACTTCTGAACATTTCCATTAATAAAATATGACACTTAGATCTCATGTGTGTGGAATTACATCTCAGAGTTTGGTGAGTAACATACAAGTATTTATACACAATAAAGACAAAGCCCTGCCGGGCATGGGTGGCTCACACCTAGCTAATCAGGAGGCTGATCTGAGAATCATGGTTTAAAGGCAGCCTAGGCACAATTCTGTGAAATCCGTATCTCCAGTTAACCACCAAAAGACCAGAAGTGGCATTGTGGTTCAAGTAGTAGAGCACTAGCCTTGAGCTGAAGAGCTCAGACAGTACCCAGGCAGAGTTCAAGCCCCAGACCAGGAGAAAAAAAAAAGGCCCTTCCCTTGAAAACTGCCTCTCCCAGTTAGTAAACAAAAATCACACCCTAGCTCCCAAAGTTACCACTAAATACCTTACCTAGTCAGATAAATCTTACTCCCCCATCAACTGCCAAATTGGTGTAATATACCAGTTTGGCTGGGGCCGGTGGCTCACACCTGTAATCCTAGCTACTCAGGAGGCTGAGATCTAAGGACCACAGTTCAACTTAGAAGAGCCTTTCAAAGGGAAAAAGCTTTAAGGTACTCAGGGGCTCTAGGACTGACATTGAATGGGTCAAGCCCTGCTCAAGTGAGCTTTCTAAAAGTTGTTGTAAGATTTATACTACCTGTAATACCAGCACTTGGGAGCCTGCGACTGAACACAGTATTTGGGAGCATAGGTGATATACCCACACACATTCCCAAGTACTCAATTTGTAAGAGTGCTGATCCTAGCTAGAATCCTCATCTCTAGCCCCACAAGCACAAAAAGTGGTAGGGAGGGCCCTTTTCTACACAACCAAAACTCTGTACATGCATTACTATCCATACTGCTACTTTCCCTCATTTCTTTATGCATTTTATTTTTGAACATGTCTCACACTTTCAAAGTAATGAATATACATTAGGCTTTTTCCAATGGACTGTGGTATGGAAAAGAAACTAAGCACCAGGGTTGGGTACAATGGTTCACACCTGTGACCCTAGCTACCATGGAGGCTGAGATCTGAGGATGGCACTCAAAGCCAGTTGGGGCAGGAAAAAGAATCTGTAACTCTTCAACAAGCAAAAATTCCCTAAATGGAAGCTCAAGTAGTAGAACACCAAGTGTTGAGCGGAAAAAAGGGACAGCGCCCAGGCCCCTATACTAGCACAAAAACCCCACAGCATAAGGCAGTTAACTCATACTATCTCCAAGTATCAGCTGGGTGTTGGCTTGTCTATAAACCTAGCTACTTGGCAAACTGGAAGGAATAAAGACAAGGCCATCCCAGATGAGATCCCCTTCCAACAGAAAGGAACCTGGGCAGAGTGGTGGGCCTGGAATCCCAGCTTTTTAAAGGGTAGAGGCAGGTGACTGACTTGAAACCTACACTTCACAGCCCAAGTGGTTGAGCACTCGCCCTGCCCTTAGTTCAATTCAAGTGCAGCCAACAAATTTGTCTAAGAAACTAGAATGCTGAAGTTTCCATTCAGTACAATACTTCAGGAATTTGAGGTCTATTATATGGAATCTAAAGTTGGGAGTTCTTTAA